TCCTTCCTATGGGGGGGTGGCGGCGAGGGAGGGGACGGGGTGCCCCCCCATGGCTGGCAGCGGACGGCGAGGGAAACGCTCCCCCCTGCCCCCCCACACACACCCCATTCCCCGCATCCTTCCCCGCAACCCCAGGGCTCTCCACCCGATCACTGCCAACACGCCGCTCAGCTGCAGAGCCCGGGGGGCCCGGTCCACCGATCAGCCTCCCAGATGAGGCTGCAATCACCACCACCACCACCCCCAAAAAAGAAAAAGAGCACCCCCTTCTACCCCCTCCTCACCTGCTAGGCTCAGAGCCTCGGGGACCCAGGGTCCAGGAAAGCCAGATGGGCAGCAGGAGCGCCAGGAGCCCAGAGCACATGGCGCCCGCTGCTCCTCCGGCCTAACCTGGGTGGGATCCGCGCTCTTCCCCACATCCACTGAGCCTTCAAACGCCGACGTGGGGATCCCCGCCCCTACCCCCCCCCTACCCCACCCCCACCCCCACCCCCGGGCTTGCCAGCCGGACCCACCTCCCAGCCCCTTTTGCATGGCTCCTGATGATTTATAAAAATACAATCTGATTTTTTTTTTTTAAAAATCGGTTTCTTAAAAATGATCCCTCTCAACCCTTTACTTCTGAGCACTTCCTAGAGTCCTTCCTGGCTCACCTAACTAAAATAAGCATTCATGATTTATTTTTTTAAAAAAGAAAGAAAAGAAAGAATCCGGATTCTGCTCATTTTATGATCAGTAAACTAACATTCAAATCAGACCCTGAATTGTCTGTCCATCAGGGGTGGGGGAACTTAGTGTACTTGTGGTTTTCCTGGGGCCAGTCTAGAGCTGTCCATGGTCCTTAATTTAAAGCTAAGACTCTCAAGACTCTTGTCCTTTGGCTCACACAGAAAGACCACTGGCCATAGCCAAACCAGGGTCTGGCACACACCGTGTGTGTGTGTGTGTGTGTGTGTCTATCTGTCTGTCTGTCTGTCTGTCTGTGTCTGTGTGTGTGTCTGTGTAGCCACAGGTTGCTTCAGTGACTATTTCTCGACAAAGTTTCTTTATGCCTCCTATGTCTAATACTGAGAGAGAAGGAAAAAAAATGGTTACACAATCCTGCCGCAGTCACCCAACAAAACCCACAAATCAAGCTCACTTTTGGGGCCAATGGACTTTCAGGCTGTTCCGGAACTTAATGAACAGTTAAGAATTAGATAACTATTTCCCAGGAGTGACTCTTTACTTAATTTTTTTTTCAACAAAGCATTTTCCCCCGCCTCTATCATGGAGATTTTATACCGGTAAATCTCTAAATCAAGACTTTTGGCCTCAATTTGGCACTTTTATGTGCATTAATTTTAAATATCTTTGCCATATATGTATATATATCTATAGATATATAGATATCAGCAATTTTATTTTTGGAACAGTAAATGTGACTGCAGAACCTGAAAGGTTTAGGGATAAATATAGCTCCTTAATTATTTTCTGGAAAACTCTATTCACTACAGCTTTGTATTCTGCATCCTGCTATTGTGTAAAGGAATGATCTGTAAAATGCAATCTCTATTGTCAACACATACACACTCGATTTAGCTTATATCAAAAGTAAAAGACTTGGGCTGGGAAGGTGGCTCAGTGGTAGAGTGCTTGCCTTGCATGCATGAGGCCCTGGGTTCGATTCCTTAGCACCACATAAGCAGAAAAAGCTGGAAGTGCTGCTGTGGTTCAGCGGTAGAGCTGAAGAGCTGAGGGACAGCGCCCAGGCCCAGAGTTCAGGCCCCACAATGGAAAAAAATAAAATAAAATAGACTACAAAAAAAAATAAGTAAAAGCCTGGGAGCCAGTAGATCACAGCTATAATCCTAGCTACTCAGGAGGCTGAGATCTGAGGATCTCCTTTCCAGAAGGAAAATTCATGAGATGCTTACTCCCAAAAGAACACCACGTGGAGCTGTGGCTAATAGCCTTGGGGGGCGGGGGGACAAAACAAAACAAAAAAAACACTAAAAACAAGGAACGGAGGTGGCACTGGTAACAGAGGATTGGTTACCTTGTGAACAATGGACCCAGTAAGTAAAAGTGAAAGTATTAGAAGTGATGGAGAGTAGATTCTCTCAGGTTAGATGGGTCTTACAAATATAAAGGAGTAGTCATCTCTGAGGTTTTAGAGTATAGTATAGTGAACTAATGATTTTCCAAGATATACACATAGAAGTACATAAATGTGTGTGTGTGTGTGTGTGCAACACAGTACTGTCGTTTGTGGAGGAAATAATTCAGGACTCTTGCAGATGCTATAGCTGCTCAGGTCTTTCGGGTATAAAAGCTTAGTACTTCCATAAAACCTACACCCAAATCTCTGTACACTTTGAATTATCTCTAGATGACTCATAATACAATTTAAATATTGTGAATAGTTGCAATACTGTATTGTTTAGGAAATAATGACAAAGAAAAATGTGTACAAGTGTGCTAATCTACAAATTCAGAACCAGCAGAGGCTGAGGGACAAATATGTACACACACATACACAAACATGCACACACACACTCACACACATTCACCAAGGTTTGACTATGAGCTTCCCCTTACATACAAACCAAGGCATGACTGGGTGCACACAAACACACACACACACGACAATTCTGTATAGAGACTCACACATATATATCAATATCTAACTGTATACACACACACAAATAAAATAAATATGTCTACATACATATACACTAGGTCTGACTGTGCACACACATGCATACACATGCACACATAAACCTATACACATACACCAAATTCTGACTGCATACAAACATATATACATAAATACTTACCAAGATCTGGTTATACATGAACACACACACATACCAAGGGCTCATTTGTTTAGACACACACACACATACACATACATAAGGGACATGTACACAGACACACACACCAATAGCTAGCTACACACACTCACACATTCTCTATTTCTCTCCACCAAGAAGACATAAAACAATGGGATCCCAAAACAATAACCATTCTCTGCACCCAGTTCTTGTCAACTATTATCTACTAAAAGGAGCCAGGAGTTCTGTGACAAATGGAGGATTCTGAAGACAAACAGGGAACATACAAGCTGGAGCACTAAGACAGAGTAGAAAAGTGTTGAGAGATAATGGAGACGTGTGAGTCAGCTTTCTGTCACTGTAACAAACTCCTGAGATAACTGGCTTGTAAGGAAAATAAGGTTATTTTTGCTTTACTGTCCACTGCTCTGAAGCTGTGAGGAGCCTGCCTATCATGGACAGAGCACAGGGCAAAGCAAGGTTGCAACACCCACCAGCTCAGAAACAGGAAGAGAACCGAGTCTCATAAAATACCTCCAATGACCAAATCATCACCCATAAGACTCCACAATCTCCTATTAACGTGTAGAGATCATCTTGAACATGTGGGCCTTTCAGAAACACGTATCTAAACCATGGCACCTGTCAAATAGATGCATAAATCACCAGGCACTGGTGGCTCACACCTGTATTCCTAGCTACTTGCTAGAGTTAGAAATAACTCAGGATGTTTGGGATGTTGTTTAGGAATAAGGAAAACAACTCGAGAGGAACGAGGTGAGGCAAAGGGTGAACCAACGACCCCAAATCTGGCAAAGAAGGCAAGCACTCAGAGCAAGTAGGCTGCTCCCTTTTTATCCCTAACACAGAAGGCCCACCTGTCTGCTCTGATTGGCTGAGCTCAGGTTCACAAGCTGCAAAAGGACTTGGCTTAATTGACAGGATGTAACTGAACTTCAACGAGCTTCTACCAGTACGTCTTAATCAAAGTGCTCAGAAAAGAATGAATGTAATTAAAGTGTAATTAACAAGGATCTAAGCCACCTGACTAAAGCAAGAACCCTTGAGAAAATCCATTCTCTCAAGATTAACAGAAAGGAAGCCAACTACTTCTCACAGTAGGCTAAGATATGAAGATCAAGGTTGGAACCTACCCCTGGCAGAAAAGTCCATGAGATTCTTATCTCCAGCTAACCAGTAAAAAGCCAAATAAAGAATGCCAGACTTGGGGGAAAAAAAACTTAAGGGACAGCTCCCAGGTCCTGAGTTTAAACCTTAGTACTGTTACACACACACACACACACACACACACACAAAGATATGAAGTCTAGGGCTGGAAAGGTGGCTCATTGGTAGAGTGCTTGCCTTGCATGCATGAGGCCCTGAGTTCGATTCCTCAACACCACATAAGCAGAAAAAGCCAGAAGTGGAGCTGTGGCTCAAGTGGTAGAGCGCTAGCTTTGACCTAAAGAGCTGAGGGACAGTGACCAGCCCCAGAGTTCAGACACCATAACCAATAACAACAACAAAAATGAAGTCTAGTGCTAATGAGTTTTGCCTGATTCGGGGAAAATCAAATATAAAACTAAATAATTGGAATAATGAGTTATAACAGAAAAAGTTTGAGATCATAAACATTGGTTTACTTATTTTCATGTTTGATCGTATTATTTTTTTTTTCTTTTTGGTCCGGTCATGGGGCCTGAACTCTGGGCCTGGGCGCTGTCCCTCAGCTCTTCAGCTCAAGGCTAGCGTTCTACCACTTGAGCCACAGCGCCACTTCTGGCTTTTTCTGCTTATGTGGTACTGAGGAATCGAACCCAAGGCCTCATGCATGAAAGGCAAGCACTCTACCACTGAGCCACCTTCCCAGCCCCTCTATTTCTATGTTATTATCAGATTTATTGGGGTTTACAGACTTCACTGTTACTAAAGTAATAGCAATGATTTCCTCTGCCTTCTTATTTACTTTTAGTGCTAGTACTGGGGCTTGAGCTCAGTGCCTGGGTGCTGTCCATTCGCTTTTTCACTCAAATCTAGAGCTCCACCACTGGATTTACCGCTCCACTTCTGGCATTCTTGGTGGTTCATTGGAGATAAGTGTCTCATGGACTTTCCTACCTGGGCTAGCTTTGAATTGTGATCATCAACTCACAGGCTCCTGAGTTGCTAGGATTACAGCTGTGAGCCACCTGTGCCTGGCTTGTTTGCTTTTCTCTTGTTAATTAATTTTTTCTCAGAATTTGTACTTATCTGCCTTTATTTCTTTCAGTTGCTAGTACACATTCTCCCACCTCTTTTCCTGTTTAAAGAATGGCTAAAATCTTTTTTTAAATGGTAAAAACAGGCAATCAAAATCTATGAATCTCATTATAGGAGAGTTTATTGCTCCTGCAGTCACAAATGTAGAACAATGTTGATGTACTTAGAATTCCAGAGCAACAACACAAATGAGTACTGCCTTAAGGCTTTAGAATATTGGAGGGTGTTGCCAAGTGATTTAAGCGGCTCCTTTAAGTTAATAGCCCCAATCATTCTTAGTATTTTTTATGAAGGATAAAAATCTTGAAAATCTTGAAATGTTGACCAGGTGCTGGTGACTTATACCTGTA